TGTGTGTGTGTGTGTGTGTGTGTGTGTGTGTGTGTGTGTGTGTGTGTACGTTGCACGTGTGTGTGTTGTGTGTGTATGCGTGTATATGTGTATGGTACGCTGATTGTTACGTTTCTATAATCTTATTTCGGAGCGAGATACTTCGTTATCCGATTGATTCTGTACAGTTAGTGTTGTAATTTCGTTACGTTTTCGTTGGTAGATAATTTACGAGTTTATTGTCTGTCGAAAGTAACGATATTTGTTGAAATGTCAAGTAGAATTCATATCGTTGTGCTGGGAACAAAGTAAAAGCTTTGCAGAGTTTTATACTTTGATTTTTAAACCAAACAGTTCAAAAGCGTTAGATGCAATTTTATTAGTTTTAGGAATTATAGTTTTAGTACATGAAAATAGATAAAAATTTTTTTTATTTAACGATATTTATTTTTATTTAATTTTTTCTTTAAAAATCGTCTTTAGGGGAAGATATTAATTTGGATACATGTATATAATTGTACCATACAAGAGTTCTGTATGGAAAAATATATTCCGGAGCATCATATATTATAATTGCACTTGATTAGAGATTTGAAATATTAAATATAATATATTCAAAAATGGCATTAAAAAAGATTGTTTTTTTCTTAAATTTTTCTAAAAATAATGTTATTAATCTTAATAATTCTTTTTAATTCTTTTGATTGAATTTAAATATGTCTTATTTTTTGTTTTTTTATGTGGCATAGTTATTTAATTTCAACATCTTTTTAAGATAGAAAACTATTTTTGATGAAATCATAATGCTAGATAATAGATATACATATATATTTTTTAAATGAAATTTTCACGACTACACGGTAATTATTTTACATTCTATATTTTTCATATTAATATCCTTTAAATCCGAAAATTTGCTTTATTATAATGGTCTTTTAATCTGGTTTTCTATACAAAACACATTCAAAAATTAACTAGATTACTTTAACGCTTTGAAACTTTTGGAGCACAAAGTTAAAATTATGTACTTTATTACTTTTCGCAATAACATCGTATATTAAAACAATACTATTTTGCAAAAGTTTTTTTATAATAGCATGCTTTTTTCTTTTTATCTAACAACATAATGATTGTATTATGCTTTTTATCATGCTTTTTTTATAATAATTTTCAAGTTAATTTTTGAGATATCTTGGACATAATTTTCTGAACGACTAATGTAGATAATATAAAACTGTGAAATTATTTTAAGTCTTTTAAGAACTCTAATGAAAGTTAAGACTTCGAGATAATGAGAGCCATCGCAAAGTTAATCTCCTAGTTTTTCAAATGGCGTTTTTTCTCTGTTTTAAACGATGGAACTTTTTTTAAAAACTACTTAAGAACGCTAGAACTCCTCAGGGAGACATTCAGACACTCGGATATTTTTAAAATAATTCTGAGGAAGTACAGGGACTAAACTTGACAGAGATTACCATCATGAAACATCGATAAACGGGAATGTATTCAAACAGGAATGTGTATCCCTCGTTTCCCTTTCTCCCTCGTTTCCCTCCCTTCCTCTTTGTCCGTGCGTATGTGTATGTGATATTAAAATAAATTTGTAAATGTATAATGCTGTATTTAAATCCAAATTGCATAGCATTATCATTGCATTTACCTTGCAGATAACTTTCATATATTTGAGAGATATGTGCATGCAACTGCATTTTTAATTGTTAAAAAATGGGTTAATGAACCTCAGCCAGTTTTATTAGCCCATTTTATTCTTCTTGATTTTAAATTTTAGTACTATTTTGATGTCTAATGTTAAAATGTTAAGGTATTCTGTATTGATCCGGTTTTTTCATTACTAATTACTACTAAGGTAAAAAAGAGGAAATCCAGGTTCTAGTTTACGATTTACTTAGACTGTAGTAATGTCTGTCTAATTAGCCTTGATTAGATGGGGGGCAGGGAGGCGGCTGCGAGCGGACATGAAATATAATAGTGAAATTAAATTTTGTACCGCACTTCATAATTTCTAATATATATGTATTTCTGAGGCATTTAATATGCAAACACGGATAAATATAGATAATAAATGTGTTTATAAAAATCAGTACTAATCCAAGTGATTAGACGAAAAAGATCTTGGTAATTATCTGTCTTAATTAACACACATAAATTTTGAATAATTTTAACGATATTATAAAATGTTATCTTATCAAATGCAAATGATAACACAGATAAATGATTCGAAATGGAAATCTGAAAACTAAAAAACGTCGTTATACGAACTCTTTGATGCGACAAACGAATTATTTTTGCATAAATGATAAATTCGTGCGTAATTATGTTATATATATTTAAACGAATTTTTTTATTAGAAATGTTTGGTTAATAAAGATGAAATTTTGACGGGTAACTAATTCTTGCAAAATAGTGTAGCTTGTGTGTTTAATCTCTCTTAATTATTGGTTCTATTAATTATTAGTTCTATTAATTTTTATTTTACTGTAAAATATTATCGCATAGATTTGATATGATTAACATTTTGGAAAAAAAAGGATTTTCTAAATTATGGGAAATTATTTCCAATTCTGTATTCTGATTGTTCAATTAAATCGGTAGCACGTGAATGCGAAAAAAGAGTTTAAATTTTTATCGTACAAATTCAATATTTAAAGTTAAAAGCTTGCCTTGCTTTATTCTTTTTATCTTTTATTTTTCTTCTTTCACTATGTACAAGTTGTGCAAAATCAGCGTTCTCGATGTACGAGTGCACTTGGATTGTGCCCAGCACCGAATTGTATAAAACCGCTGATGAACTCGGGTGGGTTTGCAACTCACGTTCGTCAGAATGTAGAGGAAATGCTTTCCAGTATCGACTCTCACAATCGTTACTCGATTTGCATAAAGATATGCGATAGCATTACCTTTTTTATATTTTGTTACGAATATTCCTACGTTATGAAAGTCTAGATAAAGGAAAGATAATGTTTTAGAAAGCTTTTAATAGCTTTAACAGCTTTAACAGCCGTTCTGACTGTTTGAGAAGCATTATCTTTAAATACTGCGAGAAAAATCATAAATATTACGATTTTTTTCTTAAGACAATCTTTATTAAATTATAAAACACTGTTATATCCGACAATTTTTTAACGAGCATACTTTGAAATAATTTTTTTGCAATATAGCAGTTATATAATTTTACGAAGAATGATATGGCTGATTATTCACTAATTTTGATGGGTTTTGCTAATAAATCTACGTTAAAAATAAATTGATGATTAATTAATTCGTTTTATTTAATATATAATATTTAAGACTTTGATTTTCGAAATTTGAAACGTTTCATAGATTACTTTACTAGCTTTAAAAGGAACAATTCAAATATCAGCTAACAATGATATGAAATTGACGTTGGACTATGCACAATTTGTAATCAGTAATTCACGCTTCGCTGATAAATTCGTGGAAATTCATCATTCGAGCGAGTCATAATTCGCATAATATATATAGATTCATATGATTCGTATCCTGTCGTTTTGTTTAAAAACTGCTCCGAACCAGCGCATGAATAATGAATGCGAACTCGACGAATTTATAAGCTGACGCTAATTTTAGATGTATGATTCAAAATCGTATAGTTGATGGTTTTGTTGCAAGTTTCGTTTTTATCAAAACCTTCAACGTTTATAACATACACTATATGAAATGTCAAAATTGATCATGACACGTTGCAGAAAACATTCTGAGTAATAAACAAAAGATTTTAACCCTTATATTCATTAAAATTAACAAAAGAAGTTTTATAAATAGAACACAGTTTTTTTCGATACCGTGTGCATTTAAGAAGTAAATACGTGATGTTATATATAAATACTCATCACACACGGAACTTGCTCTTCTATTTTTATCTCTTCGGTCAAATACACTGATTAAAGTATAATCGATTAAAATCTTCGTCTCGCATACACGTCGATCATTTCTTACATCATAATCCTCCATGTGTTTACGCAAGTATGTTAACGAAGAGTATATACATGTGGGCGAAGGAGCTCCGAGAAACTTGAGAGAAGTTTGAGAGAACTTGTATAGATTTAGTCTCTTCGAGATTTATTTCGGATGAACTAACCAACTGTTAGAGGGTACAAGATTATCTGGAAACAAAAATATCAGGTTTCTTTACGCGCAATAACGCGCGCATTGATATTCGATTCTAATGAAAGAAAATTAATGTGCGATAATGCACGATTATCACTTCGTTCTTATCAAGATGATGATATTCTCGCTGACATACTTTTTCAGTAACCGCGGCGAGAATTTTATTGATGATGCCCCTATTCGCAATTATCCGTTGCATCACTGGAGTATTGATCTCTTCGGGTGTTTCAGTCGCGCGGAAACAAATAATACTCGAGCTCTAATACTATCATGAGATATCTCGATGTTATCAAATGCCAACCGCTGTTGAAACATCGATATCATTGTTATTTTCGTCACGATCGTTTAATCGCGTCAGAAACCAAAGCCAATCGTGATGGATTTATTCACAACTTGACATGTTGCGGACATGTTTCTCTAAAAATTTCTCGAGCGTTATACTTTGGTTCCTCGGTAGCACTTCCACGTTGTCGAAACGATGTGAGGAACAATATAATAAAAAAAAGAATGTTAATCGGCGATACAAAACGATTAAGCCATCATAATTGCAGAGCAAGGCAACTCGTTTCCGTTCGTCCTTGACGAGGATCCAGTGGATCCACTTCAGCGATCGTCCACCTCGATACATTATGCAAATTGCTCGGTCCGGTCGTGGGCAGTTGCGGGTCTTTTCTATCTCTTCTTTTTCGTTCATGCGCTTTTAAACGTCCACAGCATCCTTAAAGCTGCATTCACATTAACAATTCTGTCGTCCTAACTTTTGGCATGCTATACGACGATACTCTGTAAATTCGATAAAGCTTTGCATATTTATCAATTTAATTAAATTTAACGAAATCGATCTTGATGTAAAGAGTTTTTATTTCTATATAAATATTTTGACCCAGACAGACGGGTAATTTCCAGCAAAAAATCCAGATAATATATGCTTTAATTAATTGTAAGATTAATTTTATCGCTATTTAATTTCTGTAACAATGTTTAGGTAGCGATATATATATTAATAAATATATCGTTAAATTAATTAGGAGATAATGTAATGTAATTGTTACATAATGTAATTTTGTGTGTGCCTTTTATACTTTCATTATAATTTAAATTGTGATAATTTTAATTTAATAAAAACTGGAGTATGTAATTTAATCGAAAGAGAACGCTTAAAACTTGATCTTTTGAATTATACTCTTGAATAAATATTATTAGAGTATATATAATATTTATTCAAGAGTATAATTCAATATATGTGTATATTTTTTCTCTTGAATAAATTATATAAAAAATGTTAATGTTACAATTACACTTATATATAAATTGTAAGAGTGTAATTTAATATTAATATGCTTTTTAATTGTTTACGATACATAAAAATGTTCAAATAATCTTCGAATAAAATGAGCATTACAAGAGATGATCGCATACACTTATTATCGACGGGAAAATTGCACGTAGGTGAAAATTAAAAGCTTGCTTTTCCTATCTTGAAATTTTTTTATCTGATTTTTTTAACTGATTCAAATAGTTCTTCCTTACTTTAATCCGCGTACAAACGTATTGTATTATATGTATAGTTTTCTACATTAACATATTTTTATTATAATTAAAGAAATGTAGATTAGGTAATTGAAAACTAAGACTCGTATTAAAATTGCAGTACAATCAAACTAACTTGCACAATTCTTTTAGTTTTAATCTATATAAATATATTTGATTTAAAAAATATATATAATATATTAATTATTAATAAAATATATTATAAACGTATTAATAAATATATATTTTATTTTTTATCTGTTTTCTCGTTTTCGAAATATTTTCACTAAAATTCAGAGTGCGTTTTAGAAAAAAGCAAATTGTTTCAGTGACCGTTAATAGGGAGGGAGAGGGGTAATACGCGTTGCTTCCAGCGGATCGCGAATCACGTGTCGTCCTTGCGCAAAACTTTGTCAAGCGGTCAACTCGATCTCCTTGTTTTTTTTTCTTCGTCACGCCAGGTAACTTGGTCCTTCCTTCTGTCCTCATTCAATATGTTCCTGCAATATTTCCATTTCTCGCGTCGATTCATGGACCGTGCTTCTCGCACTACCCACTCGTATCCTAGCAGAGCCCACGCAGCCCACGCCAGGGCTCCGGAACCCGTTCACCCACCTTCGATCTCCATTCGCGTTTGTCGCCATCAATGTGCCGTTTCGCCGATCCGTACGTGCGCCTGCGCTGATCTAAACCGCACTTTCCAACAGTTGTATTTGGAACTGTCGCGGTGCTTTTCCTTTATAAGACGAGCGCAGCCGTTCGATCGACCGAATTCGATAAACACGTTATTGTGTATTTTTCTCAAACTTTTATGGAGTAAACTGATTTTCGAGTGCTTCAAATGGAATTACTGTTCTATCTAAAAAGTGATTAAACCCAATTGGTGCTTCTATACCATACATGGTGTTTGAATAATTGGTTTTATATGTATAAGAATTAAATTAAAATATTGCTTAAATAAGTATTTTTGTTTAATATTTTGTTCGGTGGTTTAATTAAAAAATCCATAATATAAATCGAATTGAGATCCGATCTGCAGTGGTTTTAATAGTAATGATATTGAACAAGTTGGTCTAATTAAGCCAAATAATTACTTTATAACATAATAAAAAAAGTATCTCATAGGTGAATTTAAAACAAAACAATAATTTTTTTGAGTGATTATAAACGTTACATATTTTGAAAAAAGTCCATACAAAGTGACTTATCGTAATTACGGAGACTGTAAAGAGAATCAGAAACATTAAGAATTGCATATAGAATTTAAAGCATAAGTTCTTTTATAAATAATGCAACTGCGGAAATCTATAAAAAGGGACCAATGTGACGTGGCGATTCAATTCGTGTGACAATCGCGCGTCAGAACTTTTAAAGAAAAATCTCATCTACGTTTGAGAAACGGGATTTGGAACAAACAATAGACGCAAATGGCGATCACTGCCGTAACGAACTGTCTGGGGCCTCCGCCCTTGCCGCCTGGAAAACGATTTCTGCAAAAATCGTCGAGAAAGTTGTCGTCCACCTACAAGAGCTTTCGCGACCCCGCCGTAGAGATCTGTCTGTCTCATGGGATTCCGGATAATTTAATAGCGAATTTATACTCGCGCGAAATACCCACGGGCAGGTTTGGCGCCAATCAAAGCCTGTTTAGAAGCTGCTCCGAAGGCAATCTGTGTAGTACACGTGAGACAACGGCGATGCTGAGTAGTACGCCCCTGAACAAATGCATTAAAGCCATTTATGGCAGTTGGAAAAATCTCTTACATCGTAAGTGCGCGGATATTGTATGTTATACGAGATGTAACCAAACCGCATTATTTAATCTCACCGTCTTAAAATCGAATAGGAAATTTGATTTTCAGCAGAAAGTAAATTCTTATACATATTACCATACCAATTTAATACTAAAATATTTTCAAACGAGACAATGAGAATTAGAGATAAGTAAACAAGGCTCAAAATGCACGATCACAGTAGACTTTGTAAAGATTATAATTTCAAAATGTCATTATGTGTATTTTTATATACTATAATAGTAATTTTTCTCTAGACATTTTTAATAGACATTTAAGCCCCTTGCACAATGCCAGGCAACAGGCAATAGGAACAGGGAATAGAAATCAGAAATCATGTATAAATGCAGAATAAACAGTGACACAGGCAATAGACACAGAGTTTCCGTCACGTTGGAAATTCTGTGTCTATTGCCTGTTGCCAACCAATCATAGCATTTGAATCTTTTAGGTTGTAATTAACGATTTTTTGGTTATTTCCTGTTCCTATTGCCTGTTGCCTGGCATTGTGCAAAGGGCTTTAAGATGAGTGTTGCACGCACGACGCCGTTGTGCTATAAATAAATATTAGAGCTATAAAATAACGAAATATGTGATTACTCAGCAATCTTGCTTACCTTGACCTTATCTAAATGATTCCTGCATCGAACTTTTAGTCAGGTGGCAGATCAAGGTTTCTCGAGAATGTGTTAATTTCTTTTAATTAAACTGTTATGTAGTTTCTATATTTAAATAGTTGAGTTTTTATGTGTTTTCTGCGTGGTTTTCCTTTAATAAACATTGTATATTTCAATTTAAATCAAAAGTGGTTTTTTGGCAAATTATATACATTTGCAAATTATACATATTTGTGTCTTGCAATATACATTTTTAAAATTTTTATTAATTTAAAAAAATAAAAGTTTATAAAATTAGAATTAATATTCTTTTTATTTTCTTAAATATTCTCTGTCTCTCACATTTACACTTACAGGTACTCTTTGAATTTATGAAATAAATTAACTAATATCCGAATTTTTTTTTAAATACAATTGCTTTTTAAAAGATATATCTCACATATAATGTATCAAATATGAGAATTTATATTATTGTCGTAATTATAAAGTAAACATATATATGAGTAAAAATATAATAAAATAATGCTATTTTTTCATAAAAGTTCATTATAATTATGACTTTTCTAAGTAACCCCTGACTTTTTTTTTATCATATCTGCCGCTTTTTCGGCGATCATATAAACAGGAATGTTTAGGTGCGCCGATATAATTTCGGGCACAATGGATGCATCTGCTATTCGTAACCCTTTAATACCAATAACCTGCAAAAAATTACATGTAAATTATCTATAAAATACATGCTGCTTATTATAATATTCTGCATGAATATTCTAATATGTTTTTACAAACAAATACCTTTAATCTGGGATCGACGACAGCAGTCGGATCTCCACCAGGTTCCATTTTACAAGTGCCGCAGTAGTGATAAAGTGTCGTTGATAGATAATGCTATTTTTTCATAAAAGTTCATTATATAATTATGACTTTTCCAAGCAACCCCAGTCTTCTTGGATCATATCTGCCGCTTTTTCGGCGATCATATATACAGGAATGTTTAGGTGCGCCGATATAATTTCGGGCACAATGGATGCGTCTGTTACTCGTAATCCTTCAATACCAATAACCTGCAAAATATTACATATGAACTTATAAAACACATGCTGCTTATTATGATATTTTGCATGAATATTTTATTATGTTTTTACAAACAAATACCTTTAATCTGGGATCGACGACAGCAGTCGGATCTCCACTAGGTCCCATTTTACAAGTGCCGCAGTAGTGATAAAGTGTTGTTGATAGATAATGCTATTTTTTCATAAAAGTTTATTATATAATTATTATATAAGTAACCCCAATCTTCTTTGATCATATCTGCCGCTTTTTCGGCGATCATATATACAGGAATGTTTAGGTGCCCCGATATAATTTCGGGCATAATGGATGCGTCTGCTACTCGTAATCCTTCAACACCAATGACCTGCAAAATATTAGATATGAATTTATAAAACACATGCTGCTTATTATGATATTCTGCATGAATATTCTATTATGTTTTTACAAACAAATACCTTTAATCTGGGATCGACGACAGCAGTCGGATCTCCACTAGGTCCCATTTTACAAGTGCCACAGTAGTGATAAAGTGTCGTTGTTAGCATCCTTATTAGGCATTCCCAATAAGCGTCGGAGTCATATTCGTAATTGTTGCATTCCGTATAAGTAATGTTTAACAATTTAGAATCGAACGCTTGCATCGTCTTTGTCTGACCAATACTTAACGCAGTTCTAATCCCAGCAATCATTGTCCTGACGTCGTCTGGATCATCGAAATAATTTGGCACGATCTCTGGTTTAACATTAACGTCACTAGCTAACAATGTTATTCTACCGCGACTTTTAGGTTTCAGCAGTATTGGTAAAACAGTCCAGCCATTGCTGAGACTGTACTTATCCCATTCCTGAGTTATAGGATCTTTAAGTTGGAGCATCCTTTGGGGAACAAGCTCTTTCATTGCATTACCGCCAAACAATAATTCGATGTCTGGTAAATTATTATTATTTTTTGGCTGTTTTGTGTTGACGAAACCGAGGGCCTCGCACCCGCCCGGAATCGTAAACGTTCCCATTCGATTGATTAAGAAGTCCGATATATGCGAATGAAACGGATTTATCATATCGAATAACTTGAAATCTGCTGCTGCAATTGTTGTAAATGACAATCCAAAGAAGGTTGGATGGTCCATGAGGTTCTCGCCGACTGGCGCATCTCGAATTATATTTATGCCTAGGTCGGTAAGATGTTTTGCTGGTCCGATGCCGGAAAGCATTAATAATTGCGGCGATCTAATGGCACCTGCACATAGAATTACTTCTTTCTTCGCAAACACACGTATTGTTTGCTTATTCTTGATGAATTCTACGCCGATTGCTCGATTTGTAATACGATTGATTAGCACTTTCGTCACCGTACTTTCACGAGTTAAATGAAGATTGGTGCGACCATGCACGGGATGCAAGTATGCCCTATTGCTACTCATGCGAGTGCCATTTATGATTGTGGTTTGCAGATATGAGAATCCTATTTTGTTCTTTCCGTTGTAATCCACTAGTGAATATCCCAGCTCCTTGCCAGCTTTTAGAAAGGCTTCTGCTAACGGGGTATGAAATGGCGGGTATGTGATATGTACTGGTCCATCGGTACCGTGGTAGTTAATATCCGATTTTATCTCTGGAATATCCATTGTTTCCAGTTTTTTGAAATACTGGAGGACGTCCTGGTATGCCCAGCCTTCGTTCCCCATCTCGGCCCATCGATCGTAATTTTCGGCGCTGCCTCTAGATGCTATCATAAAATTTAGCACACTATTGCCACCGACTACTTTTCCACTCGCCCAATGGCAACTATTATTTTTCATGCCACGACAGTACTTGTGGGATGATTTGGTCTGATAGTGCCAATTTATTGTATCGTATATCTGGAAGATGGGAGCGATTATTGGGATATCCATAAAGAGGTTTTCATTGGAACCAGCTTCGATCAACAGTACTTTAATTTGTGGCACTTCGCTTAGTCTTGCGGCTATGGTTGCTCCAGCCGTACCGGCGCCGATCACTATAAAATCGTATCTGTCTCCAAACTGGGGTGTCATATCCGGTAATTCTTGATTTACATATTGTTGATTCTGCTTCAAGAAATCAATAGGTGAGCTTAGTAATTTTTGCAACGTCCATCCGTTATTACTATTACTATTGCCATGAAGACTGCTGTATGAGTGTCCGTGTAATGAGTTGATTATGGTATAGATACTGAGAACGTGGAGGACCCTCCGAATATTGTTCATTATATTTAAATAATAATTGGCCTTTGAATATATGGAATGATGTCCAATGATAGAAAGTATGCCTAGATGCTCGTCATATATACCTGGCCTGTAATTTTAAGTGCGCGTTTTATACAGGGTGCAACAAAAAGGTCATCAGAACATTATCTCGGAAAAAATGATATTTTCGGAAGAAATATTTTAGACAAGAGTTGTAAGATTTAAAAGGATCTATTTACTGACTGTATTAGTTAGACCTTTTGTGGAGTCGTTAAGGTCAAGTCAGGGTTGCTTCAAATTTTTCAATTAACACCCCCTATTTTTTATTGCATATTCTTGTAGCCATGTAGTCGAAGTTTGGAGCGTTTTTTAAGCGAAAATTAACATGCGTTTTGTTCCAAAAGGTACAAGTGCGATGGCAATATATAAGATCCCTGAAAGTAAAAAGAAAATAGTTTATTGAGATTTGAGGTATGGAAGTGCCTCGTTCAGAATTGAATAAAAAAAAGCAATAAACATAATTTAGGGAAAAATTATATCAAGAGACACGGTAGTGTCTCGCGCCAAGTACACGCGAAGCGAGACCGTACCGTGACTCTTTTCTTGAATAACTTCATTTATATATTCAGTTTGAGTTTGAGTGTGCAATTCAGTGGTGCGTACTTTGGTGGAGATTTAGTATGATGCGAAGAAACTTATTTTGCATAATTTGTATGCGTTTAATGTATGATTTGTGCGCTGCTGCTCAGACCGGAGCCGCGTAAAGTAACACTGATCTGGCACAAGTCTTGTATAGTAATAGTTTATGTTCCGTCTTAAGATTACTTGTTTTATTTATAAGATGATATAATTTTCTAAGAGCTCTCTGAGCTTTACTAACTCTATCATCAATTGCCGGTTTCCATTTTAAGCTTGCGTCGATGTTAACGCTGAGATATTTTACTTTAGTGGCCCAAGAAACTTTAAAACTTTAGACATTTTTATTGATGGAGGTCTTGGAAATTTTTTGCGAATAATTATTATAGAAACTTGAGATAAAAGTTTTCACCGACACTTTTTTTTAATTGATTCGCAAATTCTGAAAGCGATTAAATTTACCTTGTAAAGGAGAGTCGGTTGGGCTGGATAAGTCCTCGTCGGCCTATTGCTTAAGCGACGGTCTTGTTGTCTTCTTCTCACCAGGGAGATAGCCCTCGTCGGCACAGCTCACACAAGACTCGAATTCGCAGAGTCACAGACAAGCTTGGATAATGCGAAATACTGAGTCGGGCCCGATATGCTCCACCGCAGCTTCGTCTCTTTATATACTAGTACCCATGTCCAGAAATTTTTAAGGAGGTTGGTTGCGGGTGGACGGCGGGGCAGGGGAAACATGTGGGCGTGTTTTCGTCCCATAACATAAACGAGCGAATGGAAGCAAATCAAAATGTGGAGGACATTTTTAATTAGCTGCTTCTTAAGGTTTTAAATCGTCGTTTGTATGTCGTAAGTCTTTCCTGAACATGTAAAGAATTATTTGCATCTATTTTCATTAAATTCTTATCATTCTTGAGACAAAATTATATATACATATATGATAACACATCTGATTGAATATGATTATATACACTACATTGTCTACATTAAAGGTGTCGTAAAATTTTTGCTATGTCGCCTGTATATATGAGAGAGATAAGAGTATATAAATTCAATAATTAATTACTCGACAACCACGCAGACAATTGTCTTCAACTTTGGCATGGACGACAGATTCCCATAGACGAATATCCTCCATAAATTTGAACTAATTCTTATATTGCCATCGTGCTATAAATAAATATTAGAGCTATAAAATAACGCAATATGTGATTATTCAGCAATCTTGCTTACCTTGACCTATATCTAAGTGATTCCTATATTGAACTTTTAGTCGGGTGGCAGATCAAGTTTTTTCGAGAATGTATTAATTTCTTTTAATTAAACTGTTATGTAGTTTCTATATTTAAATAGTTGAGTTTTTATGTATGTGTGGTTTTCTTTTAATATACTTTATATATTTCAATTTAAATCAAAAGTGATTTTTTGGCAAATTATATATATTTGCAAATTATACATATGCCTTGCAATATATATTTTAAAAATTTTTATTAATATTTATAAATAGAAGTTTATAAAATTAGAATTAATATTGTTTTCATTTTCTTAAATATTCTCAGTCTCTCACATTTACACTTACAGATACTTTTTGAATTTATGAAATAAATTAACTAATAGGTACTCGAATTTCTTTTTAAATACAATTGCTTTTTAAAAGATATATCTCACGTATTATGATTATGTATCAAATATCAGAATTTATATTATCGTCGTAATTATAAAGTAAACATATATGAGTAAAAATATAATAAAATAATGCTATTTTTTCATAAAAGTTTATTATAATTAGGGTGAACTGACCAGTGAATGAACAAATAAGCGGCGTCTCCTATTCATTAGAGACGTGAAATAAAATTATTATCCGTATCACTTTCAGCATCGATGTAGTTGATTCAATATATCATACTGATTATAAACAAAAATATTAAAGGTGCTTTCAGAATAAAACATTTTTTAACAAAACCATTTAGAAAATAAATGGAAAAGTGACAAAAGGACCGATATACCGATATATCAGTAAATGAACGGCTGCTTACCAGTGAATGAACATGTATTCCATGTAGATACATACCTACTAATGTATATAGATGTCTTAATAATTAAAGTTAAATGTTGTATTTTAACAATCACAGAATGTTATTTTTGCACTGGAATAATACTATAATGCATATAAATTTTTTTTTTAGGTGGGGGAGAATATATAAACCTATGTATTATAAAGCTAATCTAATTTAACCCAACATAAAGTTTTTTTGGCTTCTTGACTCTTGAGAATAGTTTTATCTCGAATCGGGGATTAAAGTAACTTTACTTCTTTTTAGTCTCAGAATTATTTAATTCTTTTTTCTTCGACGTAGGCTTACTAGTTGCTCTTTTTTTTATTTTTTGGAATAATTTGATCAACATTTACAGCAGGCTCTTCTGTGGTTATTGAATCATATGTAGCTAGGAACGTTTTTTTTTAATTAAAAATGACGAAAATTAAAAATATCAAGTTAATTTATTTATTACTATCTAGATACTACCTAATTACCAAACTAGAGCCGACATGTTTATTCACTGGGAAAAGGTTAGAAAATCACACCAGTGAATAAACATCATTATATTTAGCGTACTTTTACGAATTTATAGAAAAATGTTTGATAAAATAAAATATTGACTTTATATTTACTTATATGCATTATTAATCTCGAAAATCAATTATAACGCTTATCCAAACGTAAAATCGCAATCTTCGCAAAATTAATCTCTTAGCAGCTTGCACGCCATAAGCATGAAAATATTTCTCCTTAAGTCGACACTTTCTTTATAACCGTGACATTGATCTCAACGTAATCTGTGAATTTTCTCTTAATATTTATCACAAAATCATTTATCTTCGATCCATGATTTTTTTTACATTTAAAATTAAAAGTGATTTTGTTTGTTTATTTACTGGACCCTGTTTATTCACTGGTCAGCTTACCCTATGACTTTTCCAAGTAACCCCAGTCTTCTTTGATCATATCTGCCGCTTTTTCGGCGATCATATACACAGGAATGTTTAGGTGCGCCGATATAATTTCGGGCACAATGGACGCGTCTGCTACTCGTAACCCTTCAATACCAATAACCTGCAAAATATTACATATGAATTTATAAAGCACATGCTGCTTATTATGATATTTTGCATGAATATTCTAATATGTTTTTACAAACAAATACCTTTAATCTGGGATCGACGACAGCAGTCGGATCTCCACTAGGTCCCATTTTACAAGTGCCGCAGTAGTGATAAAGTGTCGTTGATAGAGTCCTTATTGCGCATTCCCAATAAGCGTCGGAGTCATATTCGTAATTGTTGCATTCCGTATAAGTAATGTTTAACAATTGAGAATCGAACGCTTGCATTGTCTTTGTCCGACCAATACTTAACGCAGTTCTAATCCCAGCAATCATTGTCCTGACGTCGTCTGGATCATCGAAATAATTTGGTTCAATCTCTGGTTTAACATTAACGTCATTAGCTAACAATGTTATTCTACCGCGACTTTTGGGTTTTAACAGTACTGGTAAAACGGTCCAGCCATTGCTGAGACTGTACTTATCCCATTCCTGAGTTATAGGATCTTTAAAATTGAATGCCCTGGCGGGAACAATCTCTCTCATTGAATTGCCACCAAACAATAATTCGATGTCTGGTAAATTATTATTATTTTTTGGGTGTTTTGTGTTGACGAAACCGATGGCTTCGCACCCGCCCGGAATCGTAAACGATCCCATTCGATTGATTAAAAAGTCCGATATATGCGAATTAATAGGATTTATCAGATCGGAGAACCGATAACCGACCGCTGCGTTTGTTGTAAATGTCAATCCAATGAAGGTTGGATGGTCCATGAGGTTCTCGCCGACTGGCGCATCTTGAATTACTTTTATGCCTAGGTCGGTAAGATGTTTCGCTGGTCCGATGCCGGAGAGCATTAATAATTGCGGTGATCTAATGGCACCTGCACATAGAATTACTTCTTTTTTCGCGAACACACGTATTGTTTTTTTATTCTTGACGAACTCAACGCCGATTGCTCGATTTGTAATACGATCGATTAGCACTTTTGTCACCATGCTCTCACGAGTTAAATAAAGATTGGTACGACTGTATACGGGATGCAAGTACGCTCTATTGCTACTCATGCGAGTGCCGTTAATGATCGTGTTTTGCAGGTATGAGAATCCTATTCCATTCTTCCCGTTGTAATCTACTAGTGGATATCCTAGCTCCTTGCCAGCTTCTAGAAATGCCTCTGCTAATGGGGTATGAAATGACGAGGATGTGATATGTACTGGTCCATTGGTACCATGGTAGTCATTATCCGATTTTATCTCTGGAATATCCATTGTTTCCAGCTTTTTGAAATACTGGAGGATGTCC